TGCCGTGGGGAGGGCGGGGGGAGGAGTGCGTGAGGGGCCAAGTGACGCGTGAGTGCGGCGGTGGCAGGCGCCGTGGGGAGGGGCGCCGTGGAGAGGAGCGCGTGGAAGGGCGGCGTGGAGCCAGTGGAGGGCCGCCGTGGGAGGGGGCGCCGTGGGAGGGGCGCGGTAGAGGGCGCCGTGGGAGCGCGGGAGGCGCCGTGAGGGTTTTGCCGTGGGAGGGGCGCTGGGGAAGGGTGGCGCCGTGCAAAGCCGCCGTGGGAACCGCGGGGAGGGGGCCAGTGGGGAAGCGCGTGGGGAGGGGCGGGCCGGAGCGCCGTCCGCGGAAGGGCGCCGTGGGGAGGGCCCGGCCGTGGAAGGGCGTGAGGGCCGCCGTCGTGGGGAGGGGCGCGTGGGGACTTCCCTCTCAATTTTGCTGTGAACCTAAAACTGCCCTGTAAAAAATTAAGTCTATTAATTGAGAAAAAAGATAGGAGCATTTGTAAGTTGACATGTTGTTGAGTTCCCCCCCCCCCAGGGCCGTGCGCACCTGCCGCGTCCCGGAGGGCCTGGCCCCCGCCAGCGCGAGAGCCGTCCAGCTCCTGCGTCTTTGCCTTCTTTTGGCTTCTTGGTATAATTTTTCACGAATGCAGCTTTTATTTAAGTCTGACATGCAGAAAAGACTAAAACCTGTGAGTGTGCAGTTTGATAAATTGTCGCAAAGAAAACACACACGGAAAACAGCACCAGATCAACACACAGACCATTACCCGAGAGTCCAGGCGCCTTCTTCACCCCTACTCAAAGACCATCGTCCCTCCCCAAGGTAACATTTAACCTGACTTCTACCACCATAGACTAGTTTTGCCTATTTTTGCCTTTTTTTTCTAAATGGAATTTTACAGCGTAGACCCTGTGCCAGGCTTCTTTCATGCAACGTAACGTCTGTGTGTAGTTGCCGTGCGTTCTTTTTCATTGGTGTATAGTATTTCACCAAGTGGCCGTACTGCGATCATCCGTCCTGCTATTGAGGGTCATCCAGGTTGTTTCTTATTGGAACTATTACAAATGCTGATGGAACGACCATTCTTGTACGTGTCATTTAGTGCAATACGTACTCACGACGGTTGGGTATACATCCAAAAGTGGAATTGCAGGGTCATAGGATATGCATACGTTCGGCTTTAGTAGATAATGCCATGCAGTTTCTCCTGTGGTGTTTGATTTACGCTCTTGCTGTGATAAGAATTCCAGCAGATCCACACCCTCATGAACACTTGGAAATGCCAGTCTTTTAAATTTTTGTAATAGTTGCCCCAATTTGGCTTTGATTTACATTTCCCATGTGGCTACAGAAGCTGGGAGCCCTTTGATGTGTGTGCAGATAGTCTCTTTTGTGAAACGCCTCTTCAAGTCTTTTGCCCATTTTTCTGCCGAGTCTTCCTTTACTTTTTGATTTGTCGACACTCTTTATATGTGCTGGTCGAAGTCCTTTGTCAGGGATGTGTGCAGAAAATATCTTCTCCCTTTCCGGGCTTTTGACTTCCCATTGTCTTAACGGTGTCCTTTTATGAGCAGAAATACTGGACTTTAGACGAGATTGGGTGCGTTCGGGATGGGACGGCCGTGAGACTAGAAGAAGTACTTGATCTTGACGTAGTCCAATTTGTCGATATTTTTGGCGCTGTTAGTGCCATTGTGTCCTATTTAATAAACCTTTGCCTTCCCGAATCTCACAGAGACATTCCCCCGTGTTATTTTCTAGATGCCTCATTATTTTCCTTTTCATGTGGTGTGAGACGAGAGCCAAGATCGATTTTGCCCGTGTGGGCACCCAGGGGATGTTGCACCATTTCCTGAGGGTTTTTATTGAAGGGTGGCCTCACCCATCCCCCAGTCTGCCATAGCAACAACGCACACGCATGTGTGCATTTGTCTCTGGGCTCCATTCTGTCTGCTCTGTCTTTATTGGTCTATTCGTACCAATGTCACACTTTTTTAATGACTGTAGCTTTATATGAAGTCTTGATAACTGAAAGTATAAGTCCTCTCACATTGCTTTCTTCCTCAAGATTGTCTCGGCTATTTTCCATGTTTTGAATTTCTGTATAAAGTTTAGAATTAGCCTATTCATTTCCACAAAGAAAAAACCTACTAAGATTTTGATTGAAATGTCATTGAATCTACGGGTTGACTATTCTCAGGGAATTGACACCTTTATGAATGAGTCACTCCATAAACATCGTACCTCTCCATTTAGTTAGGTCTACTTTAATTTCTCTCAATTATGTTTGGTATTATAGAGTTCAGCATAGAAGTTTTATTCTAACCTTTTGTTAGGTCTATCCTTGGACATTTAACTTTTATGCTATTACAAATGTCACCATTTTTTCGACTTTCATTTAAAAACTCTTGCTGGCATCTAGAAATAGTGATCGTGTGTGTCAAGTGACCTAGCTAAATTCAACTATTAATTCCTATAGATTCCTGTGGATTTTCTCCATACACAAGCACATTATTCATGAATAATGACAGATTTATTTTTCCTTTCCAGCCCTTCCGAATCCCTCCAATCCTGCATGGACTAGGACTGCAGTACAGTGTTGAGAAGAAGTGGAGAGAGTGGACATCCTTGTGTCTTCCACAATTGCAGGCAGAACATTTTTACTTATTAAGTACGATGCTTGCTGTACCTCTCTCCTATGCAACCTGTGTCATAATAAGGAAGTGTCCACCAATTCCCAGTTTGCAAAGAGCGTTTTAAAACTGTAAGTGGACGTTGATTTTTATCAGTTGATTTTTCCACATTTATTGAGAAGAGTATATGATTTTTAGCCTTTATTCGGTTAGTGTGGGAAATTACATTGATTTTTTTTTTTTTTTAAGCCAGCTTTGTGTCCCTTGAATAAATCCAAATTGGTGGTGGGGTGTTACTCTGTGTTTCTGGATTCAGTTTGCTAATGATTTATTTAGGAGTGTGTGTCTATGAAAGAGATTGCTGTGTTCATGAGAGATTTTCTTACGCTTTTTCTAGTCATGTTTTGGCACACAGGCTGTGCTGGCTTCACATAAAATCACTGGGAATCGTTCCGTTTTCTTTGCTCCGGTGGACTTCGGGTAAGATTGGTGACATTTCTTTCCTACATGTTTCAAAGAATTATTCCATGAAGACATATTGGCCAGGAGTTTTCTTTGTGGGAAGCAATTTAATTATGAATACAATTTCTTTAATAGATATAAGAATTTTCAGATTTTCTACTTCTTCTGCTGTTAGTTTTCATAAGTTCTGTTTCTTTAGCAATTCTCCATTTCATCTGAAATTTCAAATTTACTAGTATGTAGTTAATCATAAAATCCTCTTATTTTTAATATCTGTAGGATCTGTAATGATGTTCCTCTTGTTATTTATGATATTAGCTATTTGTGCATTATCTTGCTGTCTTTTAAAAATCAGGATTCCTAGGGGTTATCACATTAGTCCTTTAAAAAAACATTTGACTTTATCGATCCTCCCTATTGGAAGTTTGTTTTCTATTTCATTAATTTCTGCTCTTATTATTTCTGTCTAAATTTCTTTAAAGGATAAATATGCTATTTTTTTTTAAATCTTACTATTTTCAGTCTTTCTTCCATTTGAAAATTTTACTCATTTTCTTCTAAGCCTGGCTATAGTTGTACCCATACAAGTTTTGATCTTCATTATCATTTTGTTTAAAATGCTTTCTAATTTTCGTGATTATTTTGTTTTAAGGCCAAAATATGCTTCATTTTGATAAATGTTCCATATGCACATAAAAAAATGTGTATCTGAAGTTGTGAAGTTCAGTGTTTTGTGCATGTCAGTTAGTTCACTTTTGTTAAGTATATTATTCAAGTATTTCACATCCTCCTGCTTTTTTTGGTTTGTTTACTGTAAACATACTCCTAGTGAGGTGGGTATGTTTAAATCCCCCAGTGATGATGTGGATTTCTGTCTCTCTCCATCCAGTTCTGCTCATTTTATTTTATATGTGTTGAGGTTATGTAATTAGGTATATAACATATATAGAATCATTGTATTTTCCTAGCAGATTTAACATTTATTATTAACAAATGTCTCCCATATCTAGCTAAGTATTCTTCTTTAAAGCCGACTTTATAAAGTAACTGCCTCAATTTTTTGTTGTATTTTCTTGGTATATCCTTTTGCTGTTCATCTTTTTTTTTGTGTGTTTTTATATTTGAAGTTTATTTCTTATAAATAACATATAGTATTTGAAAAATCAAATCTAACAATATTTTCCCTTTACTTGTAATATTTAGCTCATTTACATTTAATGTAATTATAACACTTCTATATTTGGGTCTAAATCCACCACCTTACAATTTGTTTTCTATTTGTCCCATCTATCCCTTGCCCTCTTTTGAATCAATCAAATACTTTATTCCATCTTCTTCCTCTATTTGTTTCTTCCTCTATTTGTTTTGTTTTTTGAGACAGAGAGTCTCGTCTAGGCTAGAGTGAGTGCCGTGGCGTCAGCCTAGCTCACAGCAACCTCAAACTCCTGGGCTCAAGTGATCCTCCTGCCTCAGCCTCCTGAGTAGCTGGGACTACAGGCATGCGCCACCATGCCCGGCTAATTTTTTCTATATATATTAGTTGGCCAATTAATTTCTTTCTGTTTATAGTAGAGACGGGGTCTCGCTCTTGCTCAGGCTGGCTTTGAACTCCTGACCTCGAGCAATCCGCCCGCCTCGGCCTCCCAGAGAGCTAGGATTACAGGCGTGAGCCACCGAGCCCGGCCCCAATGTCTTCTTGATTTCATTATTTCTGTCGAGAAGTCAATTATCAGTCTCGTTGCTGTCCTCTCAAACAATTTGCATGTTATCTCTGGCTGCTTTTAAGATTTTCTCTTTGTCTTTGATTTCCAGGGTAGTTTTATTTACTTGTTTGTTTGTTTATTTTTAGAGACAGAGCCTTGCTCTGTCACCCAAACTATAGTGCATGGCTTGATCATAACTCACTGTAACCTGAACTCTTGGGCTCAAGGGATTATCCCACCTCAGCCTCCCAAAAAGCTGGGACTACCAGAACTCACCACCATGCCTGGCTATTTTAAAATTTTTTTGTAGAGATGGGGGTCTTGCTATGCTTCCCAGTCTAGTCTCAAACTCCTGGCCCCAAGTGATCCTCCCACCTTGGCCTCCCAAAATGCCGGGATGATAGTCATGAGCAATCTTATGCGGCCAATTTTTAGTAGTTTTAAATTGCTTATATCTAGATGCAGTTTCTCTTAGCTCTGCTTGAATCTGTGGCATGTTATCTTTTGTATGTTTTTAAGAAAATTCTTAGACATTACGTTTTTAAATATTACGTTTTTGCCTCCCCTTCCTGGATTCCAGTTACATATCATGTTAGCCCCTTTACCATGACTCATGTATTTCTTATGTTTTCCATATTTTCCATTCTGTATTTTTTCTTTATACTTCAATCTAAGATATTTCATTCTGATCTGTCTTAGAGCTTCACGATCTTCCCTTCAGTGGTTTCTAAGCCCATTATTTAGTTCTTACTTTTAGTTATTGTGTTTTAAAATTATATTTTCCCATTTTATACAGCTTTATTACATCATAATTGATGTACAAAGGGCGGCATATATTTAGAGTATTAAACACTGTGATGAGATTTGACAGGTGTATTCACCTGAAACACCTTTGCCATAGTAAGTCTCCTCACGCCCTGATCCGTCCCTCCCTTCCCCTGTCCATAGGCAACGACTGATCCGCTTCTCACCACTCTACGTTAATTTGCGTTTTGTGGAAATCTGTATGAGTGGAATCATACAGTATGTATTTATTTTTGGTCTGGCTTGTTTTTAACTCAGCGTGATCATTTTGAGATTCACTCCTGTCGTTGTGCACACACGTTGCATGGTCCATGCTACCCATAGTCTCTTCCTTTCCGTTGCTCAGGACTGACTATTCCACGGCATGGGCGTGCTGCAGCTTGTTTATCCATTGCCTAGTGGCGTCGAGCCTTTGAGTTTTTACAGTTGTTGGCCTTACAAATAAGTGACGGTGAACACTGCATGGATAGACCACGTAAGTCTTCATGTGACAGTTCCAAGTGGTCCACAACATCACCAACACTCGGTTCGATCGGTGTTTTAAAGTTCAGTCATTCTAGTGGGTACGTGGTAGAATCTCACTGCGGTTGTGACTGGCATTTCCCTAACGACTGACGCTGAGTGTTCTAGCACACACTTATTTTACAGCCATTTGTCTCCTATGGTGAGGCGTCCCAACAACTATTTTGACCATTTTTAAAATTAGGTTGCTTTTCTTCTTAGTATTGAGCTGTAGTAGTTTTTAATATATTCTGCATACAAGTGCTTTGTCAGATATATGTTTTGCAAATACTTTACCCTGGTCTGTGGTTTTTGCCTTTTAGTTTTCTTAACACTGTCTTTTCCTATCACTTTTAATAACTTCATTAACATATCATTTACATATCATGCAATTCACCCATCATAAGAGTGCATAGATGGGGGGGTTGTTTGAGTAAATAGCTCTGCTGCTGACCCACCCCCACAATCTGGTTTTAGAACACTCCCCACCCGAGAAGTTCCTCCGTGCATGTTTATAGTCACCCCTCACTCCCAACAGGGGACCCAGGCAGTCAATGATATGCTTATCTATATTTTTGCCTGTTCTAGAAATTTCATACATATAAAAACAATACAATGTGGTTTTTGTTTTGTTTTGTTTTGTTTTTTTGAGACAGAGTCTCGCTTTCTTGCCTAGGCTAGAGTGAGTGCCGTGGCGTCAGCCTAGCTCACAGCAACCTCAAACTCCTGGGCTCAAGCGATCCTCCTGCCCCAGCCTCCCGAGTAGCTGGGACTACAGGCACGAGCTACCATGCCCAGCTGATTTTTATATTATATATATTAGTTGGCCAATTAATTTCTTTCTATTTTTATGGTAGAGACGGGGTCTCGCTCAGGCTGGTTTTGAACTCCTGACCTTGAGCAATCCGCCTGCCTCGGCCTCCCAGAGTGCTAGGATTACAGGCGTGAGCCACCGCGCCCGGCCCAATGTGTGTTTTTTTGTGTCTGGGTTCTTTCACTTCACGTAATGTTTTTGAGGTTCATCTAGCTCATTGCATCTGTCGGTAACTCATTTCTTTTTTGTTGCTGAGTAAGTATTCCATTGCATGGATATACCACATTTTGTTTCTGTGTTTACCATTTGATGGACATTTGGATTGTTTTAAGGCTGGGGCTATTATAAATAATGTGGCCGTTAATATTCTCATGCAGATCTTTGTGTGGACATAGCCTTTCTTCCAGGAATAGAATTGCTGAGTCATATGGCGAGTATATATTTAAGATACTGCCAGACAAAATAGTGCCTTTTGGAAGGTGGCTATGCTCACAACTATAACGCCAACACCACAATAGTGTCTCTTGAAGAGCAAACATTTGTGAAGCCCAATTTATTGATTTTTTTTTTCTTTTATAGTTCATGGTTTTTTTTCCTAAAAAAAAAAAAAACCACAAGATTTTTAAGAAATCTTTACTAATGCCAAAGTCACTAAGATTTTCTTTTAGAAGTTTTATATTTAAGCTTTTACATAGACCTAATTTTTACGTCTATTTTATTGGGATCATATATCCTAATTTCCAGGATCACAGACTATTTAATTTTGCATGTGGTTCGAGATATAAGGTCAATGCTTCTTTTTAATTTATTTTTATTTTTTTGCGTATGTTTATGCAAAAAAGAATATCCCTTCCTCATTAATTGCCTTAGTATCTTTGTCAAAAATCAACTGCCATATGCAAAAGATTTAGGGTTATAAAAAAAAAATCACCCATCATGGTCTATTTTTTGAATCAGTCTTCTCTTCCATCGGTCTATGTCTCTCTTTATAGCAAGGCCACATTTTCTTGACTGTGGCGTTAGGGTTAGGGTTAGGGTTAGGGTTAGGGTTAGGGTTAGGGTAGTGTAAGTTCCCCAATTTATTCTTCTTTTTCAAAATGTTTGGCTAGTCCAGATCCTTTGTATTTCCATATAGATTCTAGAATGAGCTTGTCTCTTGTTACCCAAACATCATGCATTGAATCCATAGATCGATGTGGGGAAAATCAACGTCCCCGCCACACTGGGTCTTCTGACCCATGAACGCGACATATTTCTCTATTTATTTATGTCTCCTTTAATTTCTCTCAGCAACGTTTTGAGTTTTACATGTGCAAATCCCGCACATCTTCTGTCAAATTTATCACCCCTTTTTTCATATTTAGAATTCCCATTTGATTCTTTTTTTTATAGTTTCCACTTCTCCACTGAAATTCTCCTTCTTGTCATCTGGCTTCTCGGATATATTAATTACGGTTATTTCAAATTGCAGCTCTGGTGCCTCGAGTATGTGGACCCACACGGATGTTTCTAATGTGTTGTTTTTCTCTTAGTTTTTGATCCATTCTTATATTTCTGCATCCCTATTTTTCATTCACTGTCAGACATAATAGACGAACATGGAGAAGATAATTTGAGGCTCTGGATGTTGTTATCTTTCTCCAGGGAGGATTTACTTTAACTTCAGCTGAGCTCGGGCACCATCAATCTTAGGCGACATTTATCCAATCAGGAATTAAGATGATTCAAAACAGGCCTGCAGTCCCTGAAAGGGCTGGTTTAGTTCTGATTCTCCTACTCCTGGGGTAGATCCCTTTGGGATCTTAAATGAAAGCCTAGGCTGTTTACCAGGGTTGTTTTTTTTTGCTTTTATTTTTTTTTTGAGACAGAGTCTCAGTTCACTCTGTTGCGGGGCTAGAGTGCCGTGGCGTCAGCTCACAGCAACCTCAAACTCCTGCCTCAGTCTCCCGAGTAGCTGGGACTGCAGGCATGCGCCACCATGCTCGGCTAATTTTTTTCTGTATATTTTTAGTTGTTCAACTAATTTCTTTTGATTTTTGGTAGAGACAGGGTCTCGCTCTTGCTCAGGCTGGTCTCGAATTGACCTCGAGTGATCCTCCTGCCTCGGCCTCCCAGAGTGCCAGGATTACAGGTGTGAGCCACTACGCCTGGCCCAGGATTTTTTTTTTTTAATTACATTGAAATACACGTAACACAAAATTTATTAGTATCATCTTTGCCATTTTCAAATGTACAATTCAGAGCCATTAAGTACATTCACATTATCGTGCAACCGTCACCAGCTCCGTCTCCAGAACTCCTTTCCTCTTCCCAAACTGAAACTACCCATCAAACACTAACTCCCAGTGCCCCTGCCCCACGTTCTGGCAGCTATTATGAGTTTGATTGCTCCGGATACCTCATGTAAACAGAATCGTACAGTATTGGTCCCCACACAACCGGCTTATTGCACTTAGCACAATGTCCCCACGTTTCACCCATGTTGTACCAAGCATCAGAACTTCCTTCCCTTTTAAAGCCGAATAATATTCCGCTGAATAATGTTCCAGCGTGCGTGTGCAGCGTGTGGTGTTTAGCCTTTCAGCCGTGGTCGGACACTTGGGTTGCTTCCGTCTTTGAGGTATTGCAAATAGTGCTGCTCTGAATGGAGGTGTACAGTTAGGGTCCTTACTGCTTAAGTGACCCTGAACTCCAATTTTTATCTCCCCAGCCCCACGGAATGGCCAAAGCTGTTCTCAGCTGCTCAGCCACTGCTGAGAAGCAGCAGACGTGGCAAGAGACAGAGAGCTGCCAACTGTGAGGCTCCCCTCTCTGAGCTTCCCTTCTCTCTGGGCTCTCCGAGCCTTGGTAGCGCTCCAATATCTTCAAACAGTTGTGCTTGTACCGTCTCATCCAGCCATCCTAATTGTTCCCAGCAGGTTGATTGGTCTGATGCAAGCTAGTCCATCAGAGCCAGAAGCAGATGTGTCAGTACAATTTTGATTTGCATTTCTCTTATTATGCATGAGATTGAGCATCTTTTCTGATATTTAAATGATGTTTGTATTTTCTTTGAAATGCTCTTCCCATTTTTCTATTGTTTTTTTTATCATTATTATTATTGATATGTAGGCATTTGTTACCTATCCAGGAACTTAGGCTGTTGTCTCTGATGTAAAAAGAACTCTCCAAAGCCAGTTCTAACTTACTGCATAAGCTTAGGCAAGTCACTCTCTCTTCTGGGACTCAGTTTCCTCATCTATAAAATGGGTGAGATGGCTAGCCACAGGGTCTCAAACTTTCCTTTTGATCTATAATCGATGGCTTCATGAGCTACTTTGTAGATGAGATTTTAAAAAAAATTTTTTTTGTTGTTGTTGTTGTTATTGAGCTAAAATAATCTTCCCCCAACTCTTCCTGCACATTCCACCATAAATATTTACTGTACCTTGCTTCCTGGCTGCTCGTGGGCTTAAGACGTATCAACCACAATAACACTGTGGTCCCAGTCCCCAGTCCCCCCTCCTCTGCGGTGGGGCCGCAGAGCTCTGCCCCATCCCCTTGGAAAAATCACCTTCCATGAAGCCTGTCCTTCGTGCCAAAACGGTTGGGGACTGCTGCAGGCGGGAGCAGGGGGCTGAGTCTGTGTATGCTTTTATAGCAAGGACTGTAGCGAGCGACACAGAGCCACACTTCCTAAACTCAGCCATTCATGGGACACGTTACTGATGTTATGTTTGCTTTGTCTGTGCACCACCTGTATACTATTATTTACTTACTGTTGTCAATAACCTGGCTCACTTGTTTTTAATTTAAATACATACTTTCTCCCCATCCTGAACAATAATATCGGCCGGGCACGGTGGCTCGCACCTGGAATCCTAGCACTCTGGGAGGCTGAGGCAGGAGAATGGCTTAGGTTCAAGACCAGCCTAAGCAAGAGTGAGTACCATCTCTCAAAAAGTAGAAAAACGAGCCAGGCGTGGTGGCGTGTGTGCCTGTAGTCCCAGCTACTCGGGAGGCTGAGGCAGGAGGATCGCTTGAGCCCAGGAGATTGAGGTTGCTGTGAGCTAGGCCGACGCCACTGCACTCTAGCCTGGACAATAGAGCAAGACCCTGTCTCAAAACAAAACAAAACAAAACAAAAATAATATGCATGAAATCACAGGTTTTCTGTGCTAGAATATTTTTTCTGATATAGAAGAATAGAAATATCTATGACAACTTAAAATGTTGTTTGCATGTCCCTCCACTCTTTGTGAGTAGCCTGGGTGGCAAAGGGGAGCCTCGTGCGCCCGGAGACCCAGGGCCCCCATGCTCCTGCTGGGAAACTTTGCTCGAGCATCATGCAAGCGTTGCTCATTATTACCAGGGTGTTCCTGCTGATCCACATGCCCAGAAACCTTCCGGCTTTGTGGCTGTGGGTTGTTTTTGTGCAGAAATGTTTGCATCCTTGGATGAAAGGTGGCGTGCGATGAGCCCCCAGACAGAAGACAACTTGCTGTAGCTACCACCTGCGGTCTCCGGAAAATTCCTCCTCTTCAGAGGCTGCACTCTGCAACTCAGAGCCTTTCTCTTTCTCCACCTGAGACCGGTTATTGCTTTTAGCCCAGAGCCATCGCAAGACTCAGAGAGCAAAGATACAGTGGGAGCCCTAAAATAAATTACAAAGTCCAAAACGGAACACACTTAGAGTGAGCTCCCAGTGGGAAAAAAATAGGTAATGCTTCAGAGCTGTTTACATAAAAGAAACCGCCGGACCAATATATCATTGGGTCCTTTTAACTTTAGCATCTGAATGGATTTAATTCTGATTTTTAACTTGACCGATCAATTCATACATTGGAGCAGTTGCAATATCCTCTTGCTTACAGCGACCGACTTGCCACTTGTTGTCTGTCTGGCAGCAGGCTTGTTTCTTCGGCAAATATTAAGGAAGACCCACTGAGTGCCAGTTCCCTGCCAGGCACTGGGCTGCCAGCGGAGAGCCAGCCCGTCCGCAGGGAGCCAGGCTCTGGTGGACAAGTCGAACCCTCCCGGGACACTCCGCACGGCTTCGACAGGCCTGGGTGGCAAGCTCGGACACTTCTGGCCTGGCCGTTTCCGGGAAACACTTGCTGGACCACAGCGGCTCAGTGGTCTGTGCCATACTTTCCAGAACATTCTCCGCCTCTAGCCAGCAGCCTGCCCCCCCCCACCCCCAGCACTGCCTGCAGCTCACGCTACATTCATTGATTGACAGGCGCAGATGCACCCCGGGCCAGGGAGCCTTGAGCAGAGCAAATGTGAATCTGCTGTGCTATGAGCCCAGGGCCCTCCCCTGTTGGGTGTGTGTGACTCCCAGGCCAGACCCCTAAGGGCGCCCGCTGTCACCCTGGATGCACAGGGCTGGCGCTGGCTTTGCGGCCCACTGTGGGCGACACTGTGGCCTGGGGCGGGGCAAGGCCTGCTCCGAGGCACGCACGCCCTGCCACCCTCCGCGAGTCCCTACCCTCCACTCCCGGGCTGTGATTTCCGGGCCCAGACAGCACCGCTCATCTGCGAGCACAGACGGGAAACGAGCTGCCCCCTCGGACAACCTGTGACCTCCGGCGACTGCCGCCAGGGCCACTCAGGGCAACTCGGGAGGGAGAGCTGGGCGGGGTGGGGGTGGGGGACGCGACTACTTTCCCCAGCCCCTCCCCTCCGCCCCTCTCCCCCCAGCCCCTCTCCCCCCAGCCCTGCGCACTATCCCTGCGAACACGTCCCCCTCCCCCCACGTCCACCGGTGGCTTTGCAGCCTCTGCAGCCCTGGTGTCTGGTTCTGCAGCAAGTGACTCACAAGAGCGATGTGGAGGCTGGGAGAGAAAAGACACCCTCAGGGCAGGAGAAGAAACTCGGCTGCTGCAGGGGTGGGTGGTGGGAGATAAACACTCTGATTAAAACGTCAACGTCTGGGCGAGTGAGCTCACTCGCTGAGCCGCTCGCTCGCCAGGGTGTCCCTGGTGGGTCAGGAGCAAGTGGGCCACTGAGGCTAGAAGCCAGGACTGGGGGGAAGGTCCAGAGAGGGGAAGCCCCTTGGGAGAGGCTCTCTGGCCTCGGTGGTGAGGGCAGAGGGCGGCCCCCCACGGGGGTCTGGTGAGGGCGGGAAGCCAGCGGCCGGGCCCGGGCGTGGCGAAACCCTCTCCCACCACCCGGCCGGGGCTGGGCGTGGGCTCCCTTGGCACAGCGGACAGAGCGGAGTCCTGCAGCGAGCTGGCCCTGGCCGCAGGGCCCTGAGCTCTGAGAGGGTGCCAGGAGGGTGCTGCAGAGCAATGGAGGAACGGGGGACAGGGGGGGGAGCCCAGCGGAGGCTGAGGAGCCCAGCCCGAGGGTGAGCGGAGGGTGAGGTGAAGCAGCCCAGATATGCCAGGTGCCACTCTGCCCCCCTACCCCTAGTCGGTGCTGGGGAGGCTGCAGTTCTGAGATGTCCCGCCAAGAGTCACTCATCCGCTGTGTCTGGGCTGGGGAGGGGGACCCAGTGCCTTGGCTTCTGCCCTGGAGGTGAGTGACTGAGTCGCCCAGGTACAGAGGGGACACTGGGAGGTGCCGTGAAGAGCAGCCGGGGCCCCAGCACAGCACGGCACGGCTTTCCTGTCTCTTGCATTCCAGGCCGTCCCTCCTTCCCTCTGGCATGTGCGAGTTGTAGCATCCAAGCTGGGCTCCCCACCTGCCTCACCAGCTGCCTGGGAGAGGAGAGAAGGGTGTGTCGAGACAGGCTGTGCCCCGCCTGGATGGTGGCCCGTCTGGTCTGGCATCCTGGAGCGGCTCCTCCGTGCCGCAGGGGACGCCAGGGGCCTGGCCGCCCGCTGTCCACCCCGCTGGGTAACAGACGCTCACGGTCCCCTCTGGGCTCCAGGGGTCCCGGCCGAGCAGTTCGTTCCACACCCCAGGCAGAACGATCGGCCTGCAAAGGGGTCCCTGCTCCGGTTCTACCTAAGGCAGTCAGGGTCGGCCTTCCGCCCTTCCCTCCGAAGTTGACCCCCATGGGGTGCGGCAGGCGCAGCAGCCACCTTGCCGCAGGGGAGCCCCGAGCTGCTGAGGCTCCCGACCCACGCTTGAGACTGCAGCCGGCCCAGCAGAAGGCGGACCCCAAAAAGAGAGGAAAACTGGGTCCCGAAGACCTCATTTGAGTCTTGGGTCTAGCAGTGCCAACACATTCCCTTTTCCGTACAAGCCAGCGGGATCGGGTTTCCTGCAGTTACACCTAGGAGCGACCTGGCCAACAGATAAGGGGGGGGTGCAGCAGGGACGAGGACTCCGCGCTCCCCCAGGCTGGAGGGCGAGGCAGGAACGTCTGTCTGTGTCTGTCTGCGCATACACAGGCCCTAAGTTAAAAAAAATGGCCCTACTCAGTGCACTAAAGGAACACTAAAGGCCCTACTCAGTGCGCTAAAGGGACACTAAAGGCCCTACTCAGTGCGCTAGAGGGACACTAAAGGCCCTACTCAGTGCGCTAGAGGGACACTAAAGGTCCTACTCAGTGCACTAGAGGGACACTAAAGGCCCTACTCAGTGCACCAGAGGGACACTAAAGGCCCTACTCAGTGCACCAGAGGGACACTAAAGGCCCTACTCAGTGCGCCAGAGGGACACTAAAGGCCCTACTCAGTGCGCCAGAGGGACACTAAAGGCCCTACTCAGTGCGCCAGAGGGACACTAAAGGCCCTACTCAGTGCGCTAAGGAACCCCTCCTAAGCAGGAGGTTTCCATTCTGCTGGAGCAGAGTCCCAGAACACGCGGCCGCACCCCCGCGGCCCTCCGTGGTGGCGGGACGTGGAAACTGGAGACTCCTCCTTAGTGGAATGTGGATCCCCGGGGGTCCTGGCCACAGCCTCCTGCTCCGGCTGCCCTTTCCCACCTGGAGACCTTCCTTTCAGAGCTTTTGTGGTTTTTACCGACAGGGGACCTACGTCTTTGCACTGGCATGCAATCTCTTATTTTAAATGCAACTGACTCAGCTTTCAAAATCAGCAGACAGCAAAGCCCCCCTGTCTGTGCTGGGGTCCCCACCCCGACCCCCCCCCTCCTGAGCATGACGCAGAGCTGCCATCCTCTCTCTGGCTGCTTCGGCCCCTCTGTGCCCATCCCCTGAGCTGGGTCATGCTCTCTGGGGGCCGACAGTTCCCTGCTCCCCTGCCCACCTCCACGGCCGGTTCCGACCACGCCTCGGGGGGCTCACACCCTCACACCCTCCCAGAGCACCCCTGAGGCCTGGCGGCCTGCCCCCGTGCCCCCTCGCCTGTCTGGGCCTGGGTCCCCCTCTTTAGACCTCCTGGGGAGAACCCCAGCCGTCCTCAGGAGCCCAGGTCCCCCACGCGGCCTGGCATGCTGCTACAGGGGGTCCCGCTTCAGAGCGGGTGCCGGGGGACGGGGTTGGCTCCGGGTGGCCGCCGCTTCCAAACACGCCGGTTCATTCACAAATCCCCGCGCCCACGCCCACAGGTGTCTCCCTGCAGCACTCCGCCGGCTTCCTTCCTGCAGCGGCGGCGCACACGCACGCCCACGGCTTCCCCTTCCTGCAGACGCGCGCCCACGCAGCCGGGCCGGGACGGGAGCAGCTTTTGCCTTCCGCACGGAGTTCTTATCCTCAGGTGGGCGGGTGGGGGCTGAGCACAGGCTATTTCCCAGTCGGGAAGCAACTTCCTTTGGTAGATCCTGGGACTTGCCAGGCAATTCCAGAGAGGCAGGAAGTTGGAAGGGGAAAAGGTGGGGGGCTGGGGAATGAGGGAGGGGGCCCGACCCCGGGTGAACTTTGGTGCACCTTGGTGCACCTTGCCACTCAGCCGGCCGCTGGCACCAGGGCCTGGAGAGGCCTCGCTGAATTAGCTTTTCCAGGTGCTTTACAAACATGCTTTCTATGTCGGGAAGCAGTCGGTCAATGTTCATTTCTACCATCTTTGCATTCTGTTTCCTGAGTGTGATCGAGTAAATTGCCGTACACGATAGATAACGCCTACCATCGAGTTGTTAGGCGTCTGCCCTCGCCGGGCGCCACACAAAAAGCTCCAGGTGCCGCATGAGTTTCAGTCTGCAGAGCCCTATGGGTAAATGTTGGTACAGCCCCACCTTACAGATCGGGGCACCAAGACTCCAGTGTGCCCAGGGTCACACACCGGACAGAAATGAAGCTTTGAGCTCAGGTCTGCTGATAATTCAGCCCCGACCTCAACCACCGAGGCGTAATGAATGCATTGTGCTCTAGAAATTCCCGTTGGATTTAAAAAAAAAAAAAAAAAATCTCGATTTCTTCTGCTGGAGCCCTTCGATTCTCTAAGGTGGCTTCGAAATAACTCAGCAGTCCTTGGAGAGAATGGAGTGGTCTCATCTGTATGTGTTAACACTTTGTTGTTCAGAGTCTTAAAATCCGCCAGATGTGAGCTTCCCACAGCTAGAAACGTAGTGGATTCATCCTTCCATCCCAGCCTTCTACAGAGAGGAGGTGCCCAGGTAATGTTGAAAGGAAATTAAAACAAAATCAGATTCAGGGTTTTGCTCTAGATGTGTCCCCAGATGAGCTCATAAGGGATCAGCAGCAACAAAAATAACACGGAGTGAATACTCAGTCCTGCAGGGGCCGAGTGGGCTCTCGGCTCTCCCAGCTCCGCAGCCGCTCCCGCCAAAGTCGCAGAGCCCCCGAGCCGGCGAGGCAGGCCGCAGGCAAAGCCCGGGCCCAGAGCTGCTGAGCCACCCCTTCCAGATTCCGGGCACCCATCTGTGCCTGGAGCCCGTGCCGCTCGTGAGCCCGCGTCCCGCACGAACACACCTGTGCTTTTCACACACCCGGATGGAGAGATCGCCCCGTGCACACTTGCAAAGGGGCAGGACGTGCATGCAGCCTGTGCAGTCCGGACGTGAGCCTGTGTCTGAGCCGATGCACACGCTCTCTTCTCTCTCACTCGCTGAGCAGGGCTGGCGTGAGCATCCGGGATGACACGTGTGTTATACAACGCTGCGCGGAGCCCGGCTCCCAGCGGGCGCTGGGGAAAGGCGGTTGATCCCAGCCACTTTCTTGCACATTTCTTGCACCGCTGCTGGCTCCCCCTGTGAAACAGAAACGCAACCCACGAGCCTGGGGTCCACCAGGAGGTTCTCTCTTCTTAAACCCATTCTGCTCAAGTCTCGGCTTTTTGCAATTTCCCAAAGATGGCTCCCGCCCCCGCCCCAGGTGAGTCCTGAGCCCACCCCTGGCATCCCTGCCCTGTTTCCACTTCCATTTGCCCTTAACCTGGCCCTTGTCCCCGTGCCCTGGCCCCCGGGACTTATGAGATAGAGCCAGACAATGGAAAACAGAATTCAGTCACACACAGGAAAAAAAAAAAAAAAGATTATGAAAATGAAAAGTAAATAAATATGGATGTTGAGGACCTAATTCTGATAAGCGGATTTTCAAAATTAGCCATTTGCAAGAGTAGATTAAATGCATTTAATGTGGTGGGTGGAAGGAAGTCGATTAAGATGCGCAGCAAACCCCATTTCAGCAGGTTCCGGGGGGCAGGCAGGCAGGCCCCCTTTGCGGCAGCATGTTCGAGGGGATAAACGCTGAATGCCTCTTAAGAGCACTAATTTGCTGTTGTCGTGCTGGTAAACAGCCTCCTGGAAAGGGGCCACTCGCCACCGTCTGTGCACAAGGCAGACCGTGGGACGGGGAGGGGACCGCTGGGGGCCTGCGGCAGAGGGCCAGCCGGGGCGCGGGGAACCTCGTGGCGGCCGGCAGGGATGCAGGGAGGCGCCAGGGACAAAGGACTGGCACCGGCCGCACTCCCCTCACCTTCCCAGCCAGCTGCCCCCCACCCATCCTCTGCAGAGAGGGTGCTGCTCCCAGAATACCTTGCAGCTCCTTCCATGGCAACAGCCGCCCCCTCCCGGCGCTGCTCTGCCTCCTTCCTTCCTTCTCGCTCCTCCTCACAGCCCGCGTGTCCCTGGAGCCGGGCCTCCCGAGGGGGCGGCGGGGTTGGCGAGGACCCCCTCGGGCAGGTGGCTGCTTGGAGCGGGGGCGAGCAGGCAGACGCCGGACCTCCTGGAAGCAGGAGGACGGAGGGGCCGAACCCCAAAATGACCGGGCTCTGTCCTTCCCCGGGGACACAGCGTGCAAGGACCCCCAGAGCCCTGAAAAGCCCGGCTGTGTTTTAGGTTTGAGGAAGCAGAGCTGGAGCGCGGTTGCTGAGAGCCACACTGAGGCCAGAGAGAGGCCGGCGACCTGAACAGACACGTGCCGACGCCTTCCAGCGTGACCCCGGCGTCCAGACTTGGGAACAATCCTAAACCGTTTCCAGGCTGTTGCTTTCAGAACCTAAGTCTCCAGGCCGCCATGGGGCCAGGTGGAGGCAGCACGGGGTGAGGCTCAGGGAGCCTCTTCCCAGCTTTGTTCCTCCCACGGGATGGGCTGCCGGCAGGGGTCGGTCTGCTGGCTCCCTGCCTCTCTGCCCGCCTCTCCCCACCACCCCGGGGACGCCCTGCCTCACCCTTAGCACTCTGCGCCCCTTCCTGCCCGAGGACCTTTGCATTTGCTGTTCTCTCTGCCACCGTTTACAGCAGCCAGCAACTGGCATGTCCAGGTCTCGGCTCGCAGGCCAGCTCCCCAGAGAGCCCCCCCCTGGCCGGCACCGCCTCCAGCAGCCCTGCTGGTTGGTCTGCGTCCTGACCCCGTGCAAGTGGGGCCCGCGTGTCTGGGAGAGCTGTGTCCCTGTGCTGAGGACCGGCTTGCCCACCACCACGCACGGGTGCAGCAGGGGACCCAGGCGTGGAGCCTCCCGCACCCCAACCAATGCCACACGAGGTGCGTGGTGGGGCGTGGTGAGACAGGGACAGGTCCGCAGCCCTGACAGCCCCTGCGCCTTCCGCTCCCCGGGAAGCGGGGCTCGGGGGAGGCTGGGCGGGGAGGAGGGCCCCGCTCCGCTCCCCCCTCATGGGGGAGACAGCTGCTGCACAGGGGTCACCCCCTGGCCAAGCCTCCGCCGCTGCTGCACTCGGGGCAAAGTGGGACTGGAACCCAGACAGTCTGGGGCCGGGGAGGAGGAAGTTAAGGCAGACTCTAGCCCCAGAAGCACATCTCGTCGGCTTGACGGGGGGGGGGGTCCCAAATGTTTCGAAGCAGGAGAATGGCTGGAGTCATTGTTTAAAAGCCGTTCCTCAGCCGGCTGGCCGGTGCCCACAGTCACCCCCCCAGCCCGGCTGGTGCCCACAGTCACCCCCCCAGCCCAGCCAGTGCCCACAGTCACCCCCCAGCCCGGCCGGTGCCCACAGTCACCACCCCCAGCCCGGCCGGTGCCCACAGTCACCCCCCCCAGCCCGGCTGGTGCCCACAGTCACCCCCCCAGCCCGGCCGGTGCCCACTGGGCAGGACCAAGGGGCCGAGCCCACATGTTTAACGCTCACGCCCAGGGAACTCTCCTGCAGGAGCTACGGGGACGCCCCCAGGCTGACTGGGGGGCACTTGTCCTGGCCGGAGACCAGGGCAGCCACCACAGCAGTGGCCCTCCAGAATCACCCTCCCTCCACCCCAGGCCCCGTCCCAGCGCCCTGCCCTCCTCTCAGGAGCGCCGAGCTGCTCGGTGAGGCCGGTGGGGTCTGGGGCCGCCAGGCTGCGGGGCCAAGAGGCCTGGAAGCGCAGTTTCCGGGAGGGACAGCAGGGAGGAAAGGCGTCCGGCCAAGTTCTTCCCTGTTGTCCCTGCGCCTGGCCCAGCCCCCCAGAGCGGGGAGAGCCCCCTCAGCAGCGACCCCCGCAGGGGCGAGCAGGAGCCCCAGGTAAAGGGGCAGGGCTGGCTGGGGTCCCAAGGAGGAGGCTGCCTGCACGGGCCCCTCAGGAGACAGTGCTGGCCCCAACACCGCTCAGGGCTGAGCTCGAGAAGGGCCTTGTCCCTTCTGCGGAGCCCTGTCCCCGCGGAGGTGGGCGTGAGGCCTGGGCAGGTGCCCCGGAAGCCCAGCCGGGGAGCCCGGCAGGTGAGTCAGCCAGGTTGTCCCACCTGCGCCTTCGCATGCAAGACGTGAAGGCACGGAAGGACGCGTGCGTGGCCCGGGCTGGGCAGGCAGAGGGGCCGCGGCCTGGCCGTGCAGATGCTGGTCTGTTTGCTTGGGGGGCGCCTTCCCCACAGGAGGGGGCTGGGGCGGGCAGGGGAGCAGGCGTGGAAATGCCAAGTGCAGTGAACGTTTCCCGAGGAGCAGCCTCATGCCAGGCTCTGGGCCAAGCCCGGGGCGGGGTGGTCTCCTCTCCCCAGAGCTGCCCAAGCACCAGGCGAATGAGCCCAGATCCCCACCGCCCACCTCCCTCGTGGCCTCCCAGGCCTGCGTGAGCGAGGCCGGCGTGGCTTGTGTGGAAGGTGAGCGTGGGCCCAGCCAGGCGGGGGAGCTTGGCGGCCACCCAGGCACGCGGCGGCCCAAGCCGGTGACTACCATACTGACAGGTTCCGGCCCAGGTGCTGAGTGGCTGATGCCTCTGGCTCCCAGGGGTCCCTGCTCCTCTGTCCTGGCCACTCTGCCCCCCACGTCCAGTCTCCAGAGCCTCCCGTCCCTGCCCGGCCCCCGGCGCCGCTGGTTGTTCAACATCGTGCCCTGGGTGTCGGGAGGGTTTGGTCCAGGCCTGGCCTGAAGTCCTCCCTAAGCTACAGCATCTCGGTCCCCTGCAGAGGCACCTCCTGGCTCAGCAGGAAGACCCAGACTGGCCCCGGATCGACCATCCCCCAAGCCTCAGTTTCCTTCTCCACCAAAACATCGGTGCAGGGTCTCGCTCCCTGCCTGCCTCCCAGGGCTGCCTGTCCCCAGGCCCTGAGGCGCACGGGGACTTGAGGCCCAGGGGACAGTGTGGCTGCACGGTCCAGTGCTCAGAGCCTCCCAGGCCACAAAGCCTGGGTCTCCCACAGGCCGGAACTCAGCTCCTGCCCCCGTCCGAGACTTTTCTTTCCAGGCGACCGATATTTTAAAATTAGTCTCGGTTCTGAACAAGAGCAAAAAGTCTTGAGAATTTTTTTTTGTCAGGGACTTGTTTTCATCTGTATTTGCCGAACCCCGGCCCAGAGTCTCCGCCGTGCGTTCGTTATCTGGTGTGGGTGCTTTCTCCTCTCTCAGCAACAGGCTCTTTTCTGAGTCCAGCAGGCTGTGCCGGTGGGAGGCTCGGGCCTCCCACACGCTGCTCAGACTGGCCGCCCAGGCTCACGCGCCGGGGGAGGGGCAAGGCGGGCCCCACGCCAGATGGCTCTGGGGGGAGGGTGGCGAGGGGGGAGGGCGCTGAGTGCGAGGTCAGCAAACACGGAGCCAATTCCCCGTGGTGACGCTGCCCCAGGGATGGCGTATGGCTGGGAAAACAGGAAAATGACATCCAGCCAACCACAGGCTGGTGGAAGGGGCCACCAAGCTGGGGACTTGGCTGCAACACTTTGCTCAACTTGGGGGCGGGAACAGGGGGAAATTCCAGAACCTAACAGGACAGGGAGGTTGGCAGGAGGGTCTGTGAATCCCAGTCAGGAGGAGGGTCTGCGGTGAGAAGCCAGGAGAGGGAGGACGGGAGCAGGCACCCCGCGGCCCACCCACCCCTCTGGGCCACCCGCGCCCCGTTCTGCAGAGCCTGCTCCAGACCCGGCGCTGCCCTCCTGCCGGGGCACCTCGTCCTGTCCTTGAGTGGCGCTGATAGACGGAGAAACCGGCTCAGAGAACGGAGCGAAGCTGCCCAGGGTCACCCGGAGAATTAATGTCATAATCGAGAATACCAACGGGGCCTCCTATTTACTAGATAAAATAGCACTGAGTGTGCTGAGAGAGACGGGAAAATAGATTTGAAATCGTTTTTTATTTCTCTGCAAATGTAGTTGGTGCTGGTTTGTTTTTTTTTCCTCCTTTCCCCTGGAGCCGCTACAGCTGCCACTGTCTTTTCCCGTCGGCGCGTGAACGCCGGACCCCGAGTCTCCTTGGATTTGATTCCCTGCCCCCACTTACCCGGGCAGCGTCTCAGTGCGGGATCCAGGAACAGTCTGGGAGGGTCACCAGGGGCGGGGCCGCCCCAGCAGGACAGACGGGCACCTGGGGACCCACAGCCACACGCACCCTCCCCCCAGCACCTGCAGCAGCTGTGGGCAGCGTTTCCTCCCGTAAGAGGAGCTACTGTCCTAAGGTCATTGCGAAGGTCAAATGCAACCACTGGGCTCGGCGTGCCCCGGCTGCCGCACGCAAGAGGGCTGAGCTGGAGAGTTTGTGAGGGCAACTTGTGTGGGGACTGTCAAGAGCTACGAAATTAATTGGAGGGTGTTAACTGTAGAAACAACGTAACGGAAGAGAATTACCTCTAAAGAATCAGAACAAAGCAATTACCGAGAAAGAAAATGACGCCGGGGAGAAACAGGACGCACGCAGCAGCCGGGGCGCCGTGGCAGCAAGCGCCACTGTCAATCACGGGGCTGCAGCTGTCAGGGGCCAGAGGGACTGCAGGACCTCCCCCCCCCCGGGGGGAGGCGGGAAACCGAGGCTGGCCAGAGATAGAGACCAGGCCACACGGTCGAGCCCAGGCATCCAAGCAGGTAGGGGACAGTGGCAGGTCTGCATTCCGGTCTCCGTTCTGCCAGTCACAGCTGTGGCCTGGGCCACGTCGCTGAAGGAGGTTGGAAACTGCAAACTCTAAGATCCTTTGCAGCTCCCACGTCTAGGAGTCGAAGTTCTCTGGAATGTCAGGGCAGGGGGTGTGTGGGGGGCTGGGTGCCAGCTGGACCAGGAGGCTGGAGAGAACTTGGGATAAAAGCGGAACTGGGCTGAAACCCCCTTCTGGGTCCCGGGCAAGTCCCTCTACCTCGGCGTTCTCGCCTGTCAAATGGGAGGAAGCAGCTCGGCCTGCAGAGGCAGCTGCGCTACCCTGCGGGCGGCTGGCGCCCCACCTGCCTCCCAGCCAGGCTGCCCTGCTCTGGGCCCCTGCCCTCCGTGGGGCTGTGGGGCCGGGGCAGAGCTGACACCCCTCCGCGCCTTGCTCGGCCCCTTAGAGTAGGACAAGACAATCAGCCTGCTCCATCCTTCTGGTCTCGGCATTCGGTTTCGGGAGCGGGCGTGCGACCTAACCCAGACCGATCGGAAAGAAACTTGGAAGCGTTGCAGGCAATGCCGGCTGCAGATGCCTTCTCTAAACGGATCAGCACCAGCTCCGGGGCGCCCACCCGCCTACTCTGAGCGCCCCTCGCCCAAGCCCGTCACAAACCCATCCACACGGTAGTGACTCAGCACGTCACCCCTCCACTCCGGAGAGAAGAACAGAACACAGAAGTGGCAATGTTTAACCTAAGGGGTAAGCTTGGTGATGATGGAGTTTCAGGCTCCCTAAAACCATGACAGAACCGTGAACTATATGTCTGGGGACAGAGGAACTTCTCCATCCCTCCTCGAGCCGCCCACCGAGCCCCTGTCATCCCCATAATTTCTCCCGCTGACCACGAACGCTACATCCTTTCCTTGCTCCTCGGAGACTGCACCCCGAAGTCCTTTCCAGGCGACTCCGGTTCGGCATGTGCTCGGGGAGGCTGGGCTCTCTGGGCAGGGGTGGCCCCCGCCTGGTCCCCTGTGCCCAGGGTCAGGTTTTCTGCGTGGCTAGGTGGCAGCCATCGCTGGCTGCGGGACTTTGAAGAGGAGCCTCCTGGGGGGGCTGGTGGTCCCCGGGAAGTCAGGGCTTCTCCAGGGCAAGTTGCCGCAGACCTTAGCGTATGGCCCGATGGTCCCCCGCCCCCACCCGTGGAGCCAGACCCCTCACCTGGACCAGAGGCCACTGTCCCTGCCAAGTACCGGGCACGTCCCTAAGGGCCTCGGGCGCACGTTCTCATTTAGTCCTCGAAACTGGCCTGTGACGTAGGTACAGTTATCATCTCTGCTGTGCAGACTGGGAGAGTGGGGGTCAGAGAGGCCAAGTAGCCTGCCCAAGGTCACCCAGGCAGGGAGCAGCACCGCGGGATTCAAGCCCAGGGGCGCTGGCTCCAGGGCCAGGACCTTGCCCTGTGCACCCACCGCGAGGCCTCCCTGGGGCGCCCTGGGCTGTGACTGTTGTTTGCTTTCTCCTCTTCCAAGCTGCCTCCCGCCCCCACGCCCTTCTGGAAATGCCCACTGTCTCCTTGTCTCCGCGCTCAGATGCAAAACCGAAGGAGTCTGGCATCCAGCAAGGCTGGGCTCTCACCCAGCTCCGGCACCCGCGCTTCAGCTTCCGCCTGGGCCTGGCTGTGGCCTTTGGTCCCTGCGTCTCTTCCGTCTCTCTGA